CTATATTTGTGGTTGGTGTAACAATGAACACCAACAGCTGCTCGCCTCACTGTCCTTTTACTAGTTTGAGAGCTTTCTCCAGCTTGCTCAGCCCACCCCTGGTGCAGCCCAGAAATAACAAGGATTGTCCTTGAAAATGGAGGCAGAGCATGATGGCCGACGGGAAGGATGTTTAGCTCAGCTCTCCTGAACAACAGGTGAGAGTGAGTGTGCTAGATCATTCCCAGTGTGGAATATTGGTGTGGAGTGGCAGTTTGGATGTGCAGTGAGGTGGTAGATTGCTGGACTTGGAGTCCAGAGCCTTGGAGACTGTCAGGAAAGGTCGGCCCCAGGCTGCAGCGGCAAGCAGCCTCACCACAGAGCATTGCATTTCCCAGTTTGTGGGGAAACTAGCTATTGTGTGGAAAGATTGGTGAAGTGTGGACTCCCAAGTGGAATTAGGCGGTCAGAGTGCGGTGCTGTCTAGTGCTGCACCACCATGGTCAGGCAGTGGGAGAAACGCTCAGACGGGAAAGATCCCGGATAGGAAGAGGCCATTGTTTGGGAATTTGGGAGGTGAAGGTCACAGCACGCACCTTTCTGCGTGGGCCAGGTGCAGTGATTTGAGTCTCACCCTCAGATAGTCATCCTACACTTGGAACTGGCCCAGGATATCCCGCACTTCACGGGAAGTATTGCAGGGAGAATTTGTGAAACCTGCCTGTGAAGATTTTTTTGAGATCAGTGGAAATCAGCAGTTTGGCAAGGTCTAGGTACCAAGCGGGTAATCAGGCAAACACCAAGAACAATTTAAGCTGAGAAAAAGTAGTATAAACCTGGGAACCACTCACAGCGCCACCTGGTGTCCAGAGGGTATATTACAACAAATATATTCCTACTAAAGTTGATTCCTATAGCATATATATATATATATGGTCATATTTTTTTATATAATTTTTTTATTAAATCATAATTTTGTACATTGATGAACTTACAGGGTTCATGGTACTGCTTCAATATACAATGTGAAATGTTTACACTGACCCAAGTAACACATTCATCACAATTGTACTCATTTCTTAGTAGTTTTGAGATGTACCATTGCATCATGCACATTAGGTGAGGTCCCCCCAAATACCCTCCTTTCTCCTTATCCCCTCTTCCTACCCCTCTCTCCCCTCTTCCTTCTACTTTATGGACTATAGTTATGTTTTGCCATTCGTATGATTGTGTAGGTGGTTATATATTGATTTCATAGTAGTATCAAGTACATTGGATACATTTTTTTCCATTCTTGGGATACTTTACTAAGAAGAATATGTTCCAGCTCCAACCAGGTAAACACAAAGGATGTGAAGTCTCTGTCTTTTTTTGTGGCTGCATAGTATTCCATGGTGTATATATACCACAATTTGTTAATTCATTCATGGGTCGATGGGGACTTGGGCTATTTCCATGTCTTGGCTATTATGAATTGGGCTGCAGTAAACATTCTGGTGCAAATGTCTTTGTGTAAAATAATTTTTGATCATCTAGCTATATACCTATTAGAGGAATTACAGGATCAAACAGTAGGTCTACTTTTAGTTTCTTGAGTGTTCTCCAAACTTCTTTCAAAAAGGCTGTATTAGCTTGGATTCCCACCAGTGTAGAGCATGCCGAGAGCCAGATGACCTCCGAAGCAAGATGATTTACAGCTGGGGGTTGGACTCTCAGGCAATTTGCCCGCAGGAGCTCCTTATGGAGAAAGAGCAGAAGCCTTTAGCACATAGTCATTTGTTGATTACACCCCTCACCTGTATTGTTCTGTCTCAATAAAAGGCTAGTGGGGAGGTTGCTCGAGGCTACCTTGCAAAGAAGGGCTAGCCTGCCTGCCTCAACTTGCACTTCTAGTCCTCATCATGCCTGGTTCCTTCCTGCAGTGGTCGAGACCAGGGCCATGGGGGCCCAACAGGTCGTGACACACCAGCAGTGTAGAAATGTTCCCTTCTCTCTGCATCCACACCAACATCTGTAGTTTTGGGATTTTGTGATGTGAGCTAATCTTACTGGAGTTAGATGATATCTCAAAGTGGTTTTGATTTGCATTTCTCTGGTGATTAAGGATGATGAGCATTTTTTTATATGTTTGTAGGCCATGCACCTGTCTTGATCAGAGAAGTTTTTTTTTTTTTTT